TCTTCCGATCTTTAACTAGATAAAGTACATAAGTATTGATGTATACTAATTTCTAATACTTAATATTCACCAATATTGACTTTTAATACTCAGTATTTATCAATACTTAACCTCCATCAATACTTAAATATTCACCAATACCGACTTTCAATACTTATTGTTAGTATTATAATCTTAAAACTAAGTATTAAAACCTCAATACTAAGTATTGAGCCTCAATACTTATTTTCCGTAAGGGATATACCAGTGATACATCTGTTGAATAGAAGTTGTCAAGAAGATAGAATACATATAGTTAAAATATATTTCATTCGTAAATATAAAATTTACATGTATTAAAGTACAAAATATAATATTTTGACTATCTTTTCTGTTCCCTTTGATATGCGCGCGTTAGACAAGCGTACATATCACTTTCCGTAGCTTATTAATTGAGTTATTTCTGAGATCATACACGCGCGAAGAAAACGGAATGATACTTTACGAGATATTATTGTGTTGATCTCACAATCAGTTGTACAGATGATCGTAGTATATGAAAACGGAAAACGAAAAGAATATCATGTGTTGGTATGTAAAATTAATTGATAATAAATAAAACTTAATGATTATAAGATGTGCGTAAGCGTATACACACAGTATTTAAACACAAAATCGTAGTTGATTCTTTTCACATTTCTTTTAAATATTGCTACAACATTATTAAAATAATGTTGCAAATCTATATTTGAATAATGTTTCTAAAGCATTGCATTGCAATATGCAATGTTGCAACTTTGCTGCAATATTGTTGCAAACTTCTGCTGTATGGGAAATGATCGGCCAATTAAACGTGTCGCGAGGTCGATGCCCTCGCAACAATAAGCATTTTAAGAACCAATTAATAGCCATTCGAGCCGGCTAGGCATTCGGCGTAAAATAAGCAATATCATTATATTCGAAAATACAATAAATCAAAGGACGTTAACCGCGACGTACCGAGAACAGTCGCGCAATGCAATTACCGA